TTTTAAAATTTTGGGGTTTTGGGGGGGAAAAAGGGGGTTTTCCCCCCCCTTTTAACCCCGGGGAAAATTTTTTTTTGGGGGGCCCCTTTGGGGTTTTTTTTAAAATTTTTTTTTTAAAATTTAAAAAAGGGGGGTTTTTAATTTTTAAAATTTTGGTTTTTTTTAAAAATTTTTTTTTTTGTTTTAAAAAAAAAAAATTTTTTTTCCCCAAAAAATTTTCCCCCCCCCTTTTTTTTTTTTAAAAAAAAAAAATTTTTTTTTTTTTGGGGGTTTAGGGGGGTTTTTTTTTTTTTTTAAAAAATTTGGTTGGGCCTTTTTTCCCCCCCTTTTTTTTTGGGGGGTTTGCTTTTGGGGGGTTTTAAAAAACGGGGTTTTTTTAAAAAAAAAAAAGGGGGGCCCCCCGGGGGGGGAAAAAGGTTAAAAAAAAAAAAAAAGGGGGGGTTTTTTTTGGGGGAAAAAAGGGGAAAAAAGGGGGGTTTTTTTAAAAAAAAAATTTAAAATTTATTTTTTTTAAAAAAAAGGGGTGTTTTGGGGGGCCCCATTTTTTTTTGGCCCTTTTTTTCCCCCCCCCGGGGGAAAAAACCCCCAAAGAGGGAAACCCCTTTTTAAAACCCCGGTTTTTTTTAAAAAAAAATTTTTTTACTATTAATATTAAAGAAAAGTTTAATTTAATAGGTGTTATTTTTTGTAACCCATAAAAACCAAATTTTCTTTTAATGAGCTAAATTTTAGCATTCTCGTGGTAGGGAAAACTGCAAAAATTTCCCGGGGACAAAATTTTTAAAAGATAAATTTCACAGGGTTTTTAAATATGGGAAAAATACATCCCTTTTTGCCTTGTGTTTTAGATTTTGTAAAGATAGTTGCAAACACAAAACAGAGTGAGACTTGCTAGCCCACCTAACAGAAAAAATGTAATATAAAAAAAAAATTTTATTTTAAAATTTTCTTTTAAAGGGCCCCCCTGGAAATTATTAATTTTTACATATATGTCCTTTTTGAAAGTATGAAAAATAAAAGGGAGAACCCAAAACCCCTTTTATGGGTTTTGAAAACTTGGGGGGTTTAAAAGCAGCAGGAGGAGACGGTTGGAGGCGTGGAGATGTTTTTAAGGGGAATGTGTGGGGTAAATATTAAGCAGGGAAAATTCCCGGGAGGGGGTGGAAATTAAAGGGGAAAAGGGGGTTTGGGGGGTTTTAAATTTATTAAAATCCCCCCGAAAGGGCCCGAAAATTTTTAGTGGGTTTGGGCATTTTTGAGAGAATGGATCAAAGTAGAAGACCGGAAAGCCCCTAAAAATTTTAAAGGGGGAAGGGAAGGGGGGGTAAAGGGGGGCCCCGAAAGGGTTGGAAAAGAGGGGGTAAAAAGGGGGTTTTTGGGTAAGGGGGTTGGACTTCCCCGCAAGCGTGCGTGAGCGTGGTTTGATAGGAAATGAATGGAGGGCGAATGGTACTTGGGGCCCGACTTTTGTTTTTGGGGTTTTGAGCGGGTAATATTGTGAAGGGGTTCAGGGAAACCGGGTTTTTTTTCTATAGTCGGAAATTTAGTCCTGAAATGGGGAAATAAAATGCCTGCACTTTAAAAAGGGGGGGTTTTTTGGGGTATTGGAGTTTGGAAGGGGTATGTTGTGTATCTTTATAGGGTATCTTTTTAGACTGTTTTTTTGGCCCCCTCGCCAAAAAAAGTGTAATGTGCGAGTTTTGGTGAAAAATTTTGAATGATGAGAAAGTATTTTTTTTTTGGGGGGTTTTTTTTCTTTTTTTTGGGCACCCCCGCTCGGTGGGAGACGCCCCAATTTTTGAAAAAAAAAAAAAAAAAAAAAAAAAAAATTTCCTTTTACATTTTTTCCCAAAATGAAGCATAATTTGGGGGGCATATGGTCTGCATTTTTGATCAGTAAGGTGATATTTACTATTGGAATCAAGAAATTTGAATTTTATAAAATCTTTTGCCCCCTTCAGGGTCGAAAACCCCTTTCTCTAAACCCGTCTCAGGAACTCCGGGAATTTAAAAAAAAAAAATTTCTTTTTGTTGTGAAATCAGAGAAAGTTTTTCTTAAAACAAAAAAACCCAAAAAATACAAAATTTTCCCGGGAAAAATGATGAAATTTTTCACTCTTGCAATTTTTCTGCGTCAGTGATAATTTTGTATTGACGATTTTCCACTTTATTTCCCAAATTTTTGGGTACTTGCAGTGTTCCAAGGGTACAAATTTCCCCTTTGCCCATTTTTACTAGCAAGTCTTCCATTCTTTTCCCCCAAATTTTTCTCGGGAAAATCCCCTTCAAAAATATTTTTAAATTTTTCCCCAAAAAAGTGATCAGAATTTGGAAAATTTGACCCAAATTTTACCCCAAAATTCAAAATATGCCTATTTCAAAAAAAGGGTTTCCCGAATAAACAATTCAGACATTTTGGCACTAAAAAAATAATTTTCTCTCTTTCTTTAAACACATTTTTCCAAAGGGCCCCTTTTTATATTACACTTGGGTTTCCATTTTGAATTTTTATTTTGCAAAAAAACGATTTACTGTTTGGGGGAAATACTGCATTTTTGTAATAATTGTATAAAAGTCAGTGCATTCCCAAATGGGATATTAATGGGGCCCAAATTTGGGCACTTACCGGAAAAAGTGATGTCCTTTTTTGTTTCTCTGGAATTCGGCAAATTTAATATTTCTGTCTTTGAGGTCATCCTCAAGCTATTTTCAGTCCCGAAAACCCTTCCCGAATTATCTCTATTTCTGTAATATCCCCTTCCACCTATATTGGGCTGTCCCCGTCAATTACGGGGCCCCATAATTTTTGTCCGACATCGTCGCCCTCTAAACCCTTACTTTAAACTTCCCTCCTTCCTGATGGCCCCACCCTTTGATACAGGCCCCCCCAAGGAAAGGGGGCCTTTATGCGAGAGGGGCTCTTTAAACCTTTGGGGAATTTGGGTCTGTGCTCCCGTTCCCCGAATTAAGGGCCCGGTTTCCTTTAAAATCTCCCCACCCGGCGCTGTATAAACCTACGGACTTAGCGCTTCCCCCCCTTTATTAAAAATTAAAAATAATTTAATAAATTAAAAAAAAAAATTTTACACAGACCTTTCCCTTTTGATTGCAAAATGATTTTTTTTAAAATTTGATAATTTCTTCCCTTTTGCACTTCCCCATGGCCCCTTTTTAAATCTACCTCCCGTTTTTTTTCCCCCTTGTTATTCTGTGATCAGCATTACCCGCTGCCCCGGGAGCATTGTGTGACCCTTAATTTGGGTTTTAAACTCTTTTTTTTATTATATTTAAAAATCTTCTTTCTATCAATGAGACAGACCCAGAATTTTCAACCCTAAAAAAACCCCATGAAAAAAAACTGCAAATTTGTATTTTTTTAAAAGAAACACAAATCGCAGTTTTTTTTTTTTTTAAGGTGCAAGCTTTCCACATACACTTTTTTTCATTCTAGGCTCAAAAATTTTGCTCACAGCTTATCCGAGTGAGCTGAGCTGGTTTTAATACGGGGCCGGGCACGACTTCAAAGCCGTGATCCCAAAGGGATCGACCCTGAAAGGGTTTAAAAACCCTTTAAAAAAGGGCTTTCATTAAGGTTTTTTGGGATTATATGCAACACACTACAACTTTTAAAAACAGTCTCCCTTTTTTAGTAGGGTGCTTGTGGGTTTTACATTTACATAATTTCATGTAAGAGTTTTATAAAAGGGAGAAAAAGAAATAGGTAGTTCAAAAAAACTTGATTCAAAAATCTTTCCAGCTTAAGGCACCACAACCCTTTAAGGGAGGCAGCAGGAAAGGTTTTAAATAAGAATTTAAAAAATTTCCCCAAACCCATCCAAAAGTTTTTTTGTTTTAGAGCTCTTGATCCAAAGATTAGAGGTGCCTCCTTTTCCTTTGATGGGGACTTTACCTTTTTTTTTTTTAGAAACTTTTTTTTAGGGGAAATTTCTTTTTTTTTCTACTAACTATTTGCAAAAAAAATTTTATTTAATTTTTCCTTGAGGGTTTTTTCATGGGCCCCCGGGATTTCTTAACCTTGGGTTTCCCTTTAGCACCTCCCCCCTTGGGAGTGCGCAAACCCCCCTTGGGTTTACTGCTTATTTTAATTTTTTATCTCCCCTTCCTTGGGATTGAATCCGATTGCCTCCCCTTCCCCCCGGCAATATCAGCCCCTGTGGACCCCGATGGGTTTAGCGGGTAGTTTTTGATTATAATGAAAACCCCCGGCACTGTGGGCCCCCCTATGGGTTTTTGCACTTCCCCCGGGAAAATAATCCCTTTTCTTGTTTTCCCCCAGAAAGAATTTTTGAATTTAACTTTATAATAATAAATTCCTCCAGGTGCTGTAGGGGCCCCTATGGTTTTGCGACTCCATGAAAAAAATGTATGGGCTCCTAGGGGTTTGGGGTTTCTTGGGTTTTAAAAATACTTTACACAACACCTCCCTCGCTCTCCCCCCTTTCCCCCTCTTTCTCCCCCTTTTTTTTATGGACCATTTTTGAATTTAAAAAGCTTTCAGCTAAGATTATTCTTTTTCCCCTTTTCCATGTTGTGCAAAAGCAAAAATAGATGAGAAAAGGGCTTCCCTTTGGGCCCTTTACATATCCCACTGGGGTTTTGAACCCTTTTTTCTAAATACAGTCCCTTTCCCAAAGGGGGGTTCCTTGATGCGGTGAGGGGCTCTTGCTCCCAGGGAAATTGGGTCTGTGCTCCCGGGCCCCTGAATTGAGCCTGAGTACCCTCTTTATCCCCCCCCCCCCCAAAAGGGTGTATAATTCTACTGGTTTGTGTTTCAATGTTATTTTTAATTCTAAATACAGTAATTCCTCGACTTCGAGACATTGGGGGCCCTCTGAATTGTCTATTTTTTTTTTTTTTTTAAAACAAGTGGAGTCCCCCCCGAGGCGGGTGACGTATTCATAATACGGGGACGTTTCAACTAACAACATGTTGGGGACTTCTGTATTATGCATTAATATACATTTTATGATACAATGCAGAAGATTTCACCGTGTTTGTAAGTAGAGGACTTACTGTCAAGGATAAGCTGTTGAGCCTTGCCATGTCGCCAACTGGAAAAGCCCAGGCTGGGACAACACGACGAACCCACATCAATCAACTATCAACTAATTGTGGGACATCTCTTAAACTATGGCTTTACCACCAATGATATATGAAATTCACTGTCTGCTTATGGCAATATCTTGAATTGAAATAAATTTTTTCTTTCAAGATTGATGCTGTATATAACGCCTCATGTTGGTTTGTACTTTCTAATAATATAATAACAATAAATTACAGAGTTGTAAAAGTGATTTTCATGATCAAATAAAGATTAAATGAGTATATTCTCAACTAAAACTTAAGGTTTATGGTTAAACACCACTCATGGCGAGTTCCTTGAATGCTGGTGAGGGGCATCTGATACTAGGATCAAGTTGATCTGTGCTCCAGTTCCTGAATTGAGCCTGAATTACTTCCTTCCCCCCCCTACATGAGCTGTATAATGTTAGGGTTTAGCGCTTCCCCATGATTATAATAATAGTAATTATGGTTTAAGTTGAAAAAATGATCTGCAAATAATTTTTTTTTTTTGTTAAGTGCTAAATTTAGAGTTAATTTTCAGTATTTTATAAACTGTTTAAGTGTAACCCCTCAAGGGAGGTTCCTGATGTTGGTGAGGGGCTCTTGATCTAGGGAATTGGAACTGTGCTCCAGTTCCCGAATTAAGCCTGAATGCCTTCCACATCCCCCCCCCCGGGTGCTGTATAATCTTACGGGTTTAGCGCTTCCCCTTTGATTATAATAATATAATATAATTTTATAGCTTGTGGTTGCACTTCTTTTTGATTATAATAATAATTTTCCCCTCAAGGAAGGTTCCTTGATGTTGGTGAGGGGCTCTTGATTTAGGGAATTGGATCTGTGCTCCAGTTCCCCAAATTAAGCCTGAATGCCTTCCACATCCCCCCCCCAGGCGCTGTATAATCCTCCGGGTTTAGCGCTTCCCCCTTGATTGTAATAATAATAATAATAATTTAAATGTTTAAGACTGTATGATACTTTCTTATGATGTTAAATGTGTTTAAGGTGTTTTAGCAATGTTCTATGACCCTTATAGGTTTAGTCCCTTGTAGTTTAGTGCTTCTTTTTGATTATAATAATAATAATTATAGGTTTAGCACTTAGCTATGATTATAATAGATATTTTAATACAGGCAGCACCCACTCTACAGCGCTTCGGTTTAGTGTTTCACTAATACAGCAATTTTCAATTACACCTATTCTTCATTTATTCAGACTTCCTGGTAGGAGTGCTGGTGTCCTTTTTGTCTCATGAACCATAAAATAACAGGTATATCTTGTTACTTTAACTTATGATTAGGTCACACAACACATGCATAAACATATTTATGTATACATACTCATCAGTTTTTTCTTTGCTTTTTTTCTCTTTAGTTCTTGTTATTATTTCCTTTCATCTCCCTGGGGAAGTGGAATATGAATCTTTCCTCCGTAACCCATGTGTGTTGTAAAATTAAACTAAAATGCTGGGAGCAATGGGTTAATAACCCCTTCTCTTATATAGCTTATTAAAAATACCCTCAAGGAAGGTTCCTTGATGTTGGTGAGGGGCTCTTGATTTAGGGAATTGGATATGTGCTCCAGTTCCCCGAATTAAGCCTGAATGACTTCCACATCCCCCCCCAGGCGCTGTATAATCCTCCGGGTTTAGCGCTTCCCCCTTGATTATAATAATAATAATTATTAAAAACAAAAAAAAAAGAAAACCTTTAACTTGGGATGTTTGAATGTGCGTGGATGCAGTGTGTGATGATAAGAATGAGAAGATTGTAGACGTTACGAATCAAAAGAAGTTGTACGTTCTGGCTCTTGAGTGAAACAAGGCTGAAGGGGTAGGAGAGTTTCAGTGGGGAAAAATAAATGGGATTAGGTCAGGGGTTTCTAATAGAGTTAGAGCAAAGGAAGGAGTAACAATAATGTTGATGGATTAGCTATGACAGGAGTGGGAATATAAATGTATAACTTCAAGGATTATGTGGAGTAAAATAAAGGCTGGATGTGGAAAGTGGGTTATAGTGTTTCTGCACCTGGAGACCCCTCAAGAGAAGTTCCTCGATGCTGGTGAGGGGCTCTTGATCTAGGGAATTGGATCTGTGCTCCAGTTCCCTGAATTGAGTCTGAATAACTTCCATCCCCACATGTGCTGTATAATCCTATGGGTTTAGTGCTCCCCCATTATAATAATAATGCACCTGGAGAAGAGAGAAGTGTAGAGGAGATAAGTGAGTGATTAGGGAGCCAAGTAAGAGAGTAATTGTGGTAGGGGACATGAATGCTAAAGTGGCAGAAAAGGTTGTAGAGGGTGTGGTAGCGGAGTCTGGAGTGCCAGGGGTAAATGATTATGAGGGGCCTTTAATTGAACTATGTATAGAATGAGGTTTGGTAACAAGTATTACATATTTTAAGAAGAGGATAAATAAATATACAAGATATGATGTAGGGCATAATGAAAGTAGTTTCTTGGATTATGTATTGGTGGGCAAAGGTTGCTGGGTAGACTTCAGGATGTGCATGTTTATAGAGAGGCAACAGATATGTCAGATAATTATTTAGTTGTAGCTATGTTTAGAGTAAGAGGTAGATGAAACAAAAGGAAATCAGTAACAGCAAGTAAGAGACAGATGAAAGTTTATAAACTGAGGAGGAAGATAGGGTGAGATTTAAGCAACTAATGGGAGAAAGGTGGGCTAGCAAGAGTATAGGTAGTGTGGAGGCTGAAGAGGGGTGGGATAGTTTTAAAAATGCAGTGTTAAAATGCAGGGCAGAAGTTTGTGAATATAGGAAGGTGGGTGCAGGAGAAAAGAGGGATGATGAGGTAAAGGGTGTGATAATGGAGAAAAAGTTTGCTTATAAGAAGTTTTTACAAAGTAAAAGTGATATAAGAAGGGTGGAATATATGAAGAGTAAAAGAGAGGTGAAGAGAGTGGTGAGGGAGTGCAAAAGGAGAGCAAATGATAAGTGTGGGTGAGATGCTGTCAACAAATTTTACTGAGAATAAGAAAAAGTTTTGGAGAGAGAGAAATAGGAAAGCTTAGTGAACAAATGAACATGACAGTGAAAAACAGAACAGGGAGTTAGTAGACGGGAGTTGGGGTATTGGGAAGATGGCAGGAATATTTTGAAGAACTGTTAAATGTTGATGAAGAGAGGGAGGCAGTGATTTCATGCATTGGCAGGGAGGTATAACAATCTTTTAGGAGAGAAGAAGAGCCAGGTGTGAGTGTGGGGGGAGGTGCTTGAGGCACTGGGTAAAATGTAGGGTGAATAAAGCAGCTGGAACTGATGGATCTTGACAGAAAAGTTAAAAGCAGGTGGGGATATAGTTTTGGAGTGGTTGATATTTTTGTTCAATATATGAAAGAAGGGAAGGTAACCTAGGGACTGCCAGAGCACATGCATAGTTTCTTTATATAAAGGGAAGGGGGACAAATAGAGTGTAAAAATTATAGGGGAATAAGCCTACCGAGTACATCTGGTAGTGTATGGTAGAGTTTATTATTTTAAAGATTAAGAGGGAAGACAGAGAGCAGGATTTCGGAGAACAAGGAGGCTTTAGAATGGGTAGGGGATGTGTAGACGAAGTGTTCACATTGAGCATATAAGTGAACAATATTTAGATAAAGGAGGGAAGTTTTCATTGCTATTATTGGATTTAGAAATGGCTTATGATAGGTGAATAGAGGAGCAATGTAGTAGATGTTGAAAATGTATGGAATAGGTGGTAAGTACTAAATGCTGTAATAGTGAGAATAGTGAGGCTCAGGTTAGGTTGTGTGGGGAGAGAGGGAGATTACTTTCCAGTAAAAGTAGGTCTTACCTGGAGTTTACCTGGAGAGGGTTTCGGGGGTCAAGGCCCCCATGGCTCGGTCTAAGACCAGGCCTCATGGTGGATCAGGGTCTGATCAACCAGGCTGTTACTACTGACCGCACACAAGCTGATGTATGAACCACAGCCCGGTGGGTCAGGTACTGACTTTAGGTGCCTCTCCAGTGCCTTCTTAAAGACAGCCAGGGGTCTATTGGTAATCCCCCTCATGTAGGCTGGGAGGTAGTTGAACAGTCTTGGACCCTGGACACTTATTGTGTTGTCTCTCAATGTACTCGTTTTCCCCTGCTTTTCATTGGGGGAATGTTGCATCTCCTTCTAAGTCTTTTGCTTTCATAAGGAGCGATTTTCATTTGCAGGTTTTGTACCAATCCCTCCATAATGTTACTGTGGTTGTTTAACGTATAGATGGGGTTGTAAGATAAGTGAATGCTATGGTGTTGGGGAGAGGGTCGGGATTAAGTTATGAGGCTTCAAATACAAAATGGGAGTTGACCAGATACTTCTTGCTGATGATACTGTGCTTTTGGGAGATTCTGAAGAGAATTTACAAAGGTTTAGTGAATGAGTTTGGAGGATGTGTAAAGGAAGAAAGTTGAAAGTGAACATGGATAAGAGTAAGGTGATGAGGGTATCCAAAAGATTTAAATAAGAAAAAAATGGATATCAAACTAGAGGAAGGTAGTATGGAAGGAAGGAATGTGTTGCAATATTTGGGAGAAGACTTGTCAACAGATGGATATGTGAAGGACGAGGAAAACCATAGAACTGATGAAGGAAAACAAGGTGGGAGGTTAACTGAGGTATCTGTGCAGACGAAGAACATTTATCCATGGAGGCAAAGAAGGAATTATGAGAGCATGGATAGTAAATGTTCCAGTGAGAAGGAAGTTGGAGGCAGTGGAGATGTCGTGTCAAAAGGCAATATGTGGTTGTAAATACTATGCAGAGAATTTGTAGTGTGGAAATTAGGAGATGTGGAGTTGCATAAAAGTATTATCAGAGGGCTGAGGAGGGTTTGGTCATTTAGAGAGGATGACTTCATGGAGTTTACCTGGAGAGGGTTTCAGGAGTCAACGCCTCCGCGGCCCGGTTTGTGACCAGGCCTTTGCCGTGGTCTATAAATCTGTAGAGGAGAAAAGTGAGTGGGTAGGGGTCATCCTAGGAAAGGATGGATGGTGGGGATAAAAGAGGTTTTGTGTGCAAGGGGCTTGGACATACAGCAGGGATGTGTGAATGTGTTAGATAGGAGTGAATGG